GATCCATCTCCAAATATAAATGATTCAGACAAGATGCATGTGCAGGAAAGATCTTATCCCTCAATATAAATGATTCGGGCAAGATCCATGCCCAAGGGAAGATCCATCCCCAAATATAAATGATTCAGACAAGATCCATGTCCAGGGAAGATCCATCCCTCAATATAAATGATTCTGGCAAGATCCATGCCCAGAGGAAGATCCATCCCCAAATATAAATGATTCAGACAAGATCCATGTCCAGGGAAGATCCATCCCTCAATATAAATGATTCTGGCAAGATCCATGCCCAGAGGAAGATCCATCCCCAAATATAAATGGTTCGGGCAAGATCCATACCTAGGGGAAGATCCATCCCCAAATATAAATGATTCGGACAAGATTCATGTCCAGGGAAGATATCCCTTAATATAAAATCAACCGCGCTCACTGTGGGGGGTGCAGACTCCGGAGGGGTTCCTTCAACCCAAGCTCTATAATAGCAAGATCTAGGCATAAATAAATAAAATATGTTGCGGCGTGCAGCCCAATCCCATAAATATCACTCAAAATCTCAAGTCTCTCGGGCTCTCAATGACATGAAAATCAACGTGACATGATGATATGATGTATTAATGAATGACAACAAAGACTGAGATATGATATGTAAATGATAGATGTGACTGAGTACAAAATTACAATTCAAACAAGTAATTCAATAGCAATAAGACCTCTGTGGATCCCAAAATATCGGCACATAGCCTAAACATGATCTTTAACATGAGTCTCAGCTCAATTCCCTCTAACACGTGGAGGATATGTGGATAATAACATGATTATTTGATTATGCAACTCCACGGAATCCATTAAGTCACAATTTCAATGATGCACGCCCACACGCGTCGTCACCAAGTATGTGCGTCACCTCCATACAATTCACATAATACGTAATTCAGGGATTTATACCCTCAGACCCAAGTTTAGAAGTGTTAATTACTTCAAACAGTGTAATTCTTTATTATAATATGCCTTTGCCGTACGAATCGGTCTCTGAACGCCTCGAATATAGTCACAATTAATTTTATACAGTCAACACAATTTATAGGAATTAATTCCATATGAAAATACTAATTTTTCAATAAAATACGAAATTACACTCAAAAATCGCCAGTGGAGACACGTCTCGAAACCCGACAAAAGTTATAAAATATGAATGCTCATTCCACCACGAGTCCAACCATACCAAATTTACCAAATCCCGACATCAACTCGACCTTCAAATCCTCAAATCTTATTTTCATATCCCTAAGCCCAAATTCTCGAATTACACCTCAAAAACACGTAATCTAGTCGGAATATTCAATGATAATTTAATATTATTGACTAACAATGATCACAAGTGACTTACCTCAAGATTTTCCATGAAATTTCTCTGAAAAATCGCCCCAAGTTGTGTTCTTTCGCCCAAAAATGTTGAAATGAGCTAAAAAACAAAAATGCTCAATAAAAACACATTTCCCGTCACGAAAGGCCAGCACTAGAACCTCCTTGCACCAACAATTTAATTTTTCACTAAAAAGGTTCTAACTCCGTCATACGAACTCAAAATTCGATGATTCTTATTTCTATGAGTCACAAATAATAATACAAAACTGACCGTTCAATCGAAACTCAATTCGGAGCTCATTTGCTCAATGCGATACCAATTTCACTCGTTAAATAATTAGCTCATGTTTCATGCTAAAAACCCAATCACGACTTGATAAAATTAGACCAAACATTCCAGATACATTCCTATAATTCATTATCAAACTTTTGGAAGTCTCGAAATCGAATTTCGATCTCTAGAACTAAAATTGGACCTTTGGATCATTACATGCTTATGATCAAAATACCAAACTCTTCCAAACTCATCCGAGCCCCATGGGACCCCAACCAAGTATACTAATAAGTCTCATAACATGACACGAACTTAGTTGATGCCTCAAATTACATTAAACAATACTAAAACACGAATCGCACCTCAATTTAAGCTTAATGAAAACTAACGAATTACAAATTCTACATTCGATGTCGAAACCTATCAAATCAAGTTCGATTGACCTCAAATTTTATACACAAGTCATACATGACATAACGGACTTATCAAAATTTCCAAAACTGGATTCCAACCCCGATATTAAATAGTCAACTCCCTGGTCAAACTTCCAAACTTAAATTTCATACTTTCGCCATTTCAAGCCTAATTTAATTACGAACATCTAAATAATTTTTCGGATACACTCCTAAGTCCAAAATCACCATATAAAACTATTGGAGTCATCAAAACTCTATTTCAACTTAAACTTTAAATATGAATTTCATTCTTCCAAACTAATTCCGAAACACCTGAAAAATCAAAGCACATACAGGTTGTAATATATCATATGAAACTATTCAAGACTTCAAATAGTTGAAAGGAGCATAAATGTTCAAAACGACAAGTCGGGTCATTACACCAAGCCCTCGACCCTTGGAGGTGTCCACCGAGTTGCTGAGATAACAAAAAAGAAGTGTCAGAAATGACGTGAACAATTCTTAATCATAGAAAAGGGTAGATTTCGAACTTACGGGTATGATTCCAAGATTCAGGAAAGGGTGGAGTCGTGGCCGGGATGATGTCCCTGGTGGAAACTACAACGAACCGCTCCATCCATCCACCATGCTAGTGAGAAAAGCATGGTGACCACGTTTGCTGAAGTTTATCATTCCCCTACAAAAAATCTTAGGGGAATAAAGGTTCATCAGCCGAGCCAGGGAAAGCTTTTCCCTAGTCTCCTGGCATAGCCGCCAAAGACACGCTAGTGTCTGCCAAACAGAAAGGCTCACCTATACCATACATACTTGGTAGTGGAAGCAAAACTCCAAGATAACAGAGTCAAGCCCCTCGCTCAATGAAAACGGGCCCAAAGTGAAGGTGTACATGTAAACATACGTAAAACCCTTCTTGGAGAAGGTTACCCGCTCCGCTAGGTCAGGAGCAATGATGTTCAAATCCGGACAACCACAATCTTCCTTCACAGCAGGAATGCTAGAAGGGATGATGGAAGAAGGATATATGCCAACAACTCAAGTGCGAGAGTTAGCAGATGGGAACTTCTCTTCGAAGTCCTCAGTTGTAATAAGCTTTATGTGAATGATGATGCTCATTGTGGGAGAAGCAACATCATTAACACTTTCTTCGTTTTTCAAAGCATTGGAATTTTTAGAAGAGGAGACCATTGTTTTCAGAATAGGATAAGGATTTTTTCTCTTAAGAAGAAGATCAGAGGAAATGGAAAACAAGTATAAGTTGAGTAAAGAGAGTTTGAAAAGTTATGAAGTGTAAAAGAAGAAGGTTGATGCGTATAAGTAAAGGAATAAGCGGCTAAAATTATGGCCATAATTACCTCAATAACTGGCAAAAGTGTTGCTGAATCGTGGGGTGACGCGTGTTCGAGGCATTAAATGGGGAGAGACGTGCATCTAATCAACTGTCAGAAAATTTTCAGAAGGGGTCAAAGAATTTCTCGCCAAGAAAGGGATCTTCACCAACTTACCGGTGACACAAGGTTATGCCACCAGAAAGCAGGGGTATTATCTGTATAGGGTAAAATATGTTCATATTAAATGCTTGCATGATAAAGCAACACGTGGAGCATTAGACAGAAGACAATCAGGTCTGAAGGCAACAATCTCGTTTGTTACCGAAGAGAATGGTATTCATAAAGGCGAAGTAAATGCCTGTCATCCGGTAGCATTTAATGGAGAATATTTTATAACATTAAGTACATGATCCGTTACAGAGAATATGTCATTCGCGGCCTACCGTTACACATTCTTCAATGTCCCTCATAATTGTCATTAAAGAGGGGCTTGATCCTAGGACCTTGTTCCCTAGGTGCAGCTATAAATAGTGAGCTCTAGAACCATTGTACGGGAAATTTTCGGACTAACATATAATATACTTCGTTCAAAGCTCAATACTATTTTATTTTCTTGCTTATTAATATTGTTACGATTGCGTCCGGAAGCTCTACTCCCGGTACCGAAATTTCTCCTGTTCTATCTCGATTTCAACGTTAAGTCTTACATTCTTGTTTAATTTATTTGTCATTTTAGGAGCAAATCGATTCACTTGTTTATAAACCACGTATAAATTCAACTATATCGTTTTATAGGTAAACAGATAGGTAAATCACCAAATGAGTATATTTTGATATAGGTTTCTTGTTAGTAACTTTTAATATGGGAGTTTAGCAACAATATGAGTATATACTCGTATAAAACATATAAATTGCAGCGTACGAAAATGTTATAGAGGGATTGTATATCGAGTTTTAAATTAATACGTATTTAACTCATCCATTTTTAATAGCTTTAGTGTGGCATGGCCCCCATTTAGGGGTGTAGGTTTAGTGTGGCATGATTCTTGTCCTTGTATATATATCAAACATATCACAGCATATAACATGCCTTGGAAATTGTTAAAATGGTGATTTAATATTGCGACTTGGTAAACTTCATTGATTAGTAGCATGAAACATTCTTGATCTATTGAACATTTGAGATCTATATTGTAACATAATCCCAAAAAAGTCAATTTATTGTACTTCTCTTTTTGTTTCTGAGGCTAGTCGTTTATCTAACAAAGTTATACTCCCTCTCTTTCATTTTTGTGGCAATGTAATTCAGAAAGAGCTGACCAACTTTATATTAAAAAATAATTTAATTTTAAATTTTCATTTTATTCTTATGATATGCTTTTATTGTCACATAAATGTCATGCATGTTTAACACCACAATTTAACTGTTTATCGCTCTTAAATACGTACTATCTCAAATATTGCTACATAAAACGGAGGGAGTACAAAGATAAATCCAGTGTCTCTGTGTCTGGACTGGACTCTGAAAATTCCAAAACTATAACTCTTCTTGGGCTTGGGCTAATAATCCAGCCCAACTCTACAATTATAAAACGACGTCGTTTAATGACTTCATCAGTTTATCGCCAACGATCCGTTATGGCACGTGGCGTCTGCAAAATCTCAAAGCCTAATCAGTTGTTCTAGTCCAAAAAAAATTTTGCAACTGAACTTCTGTGTTTGCAGATTGAGTTTACAACTACTTTTGTGAAGTCCAGAAGAATCTCAAGTTAGAGAAAAAAACCAATCATTGGTTTAGTCTCTTTATAGATGACTTCATTATAGAAAACATTATTTTTTAGTAGAATTAGAAGAGAAAAAAAAATGCAGGGCTTGGCTCTTCAGACATCTAATTCTATAGCATCAAGTTATGGGAAGAGAAAGCTTTCATTTTTGAATGTGGTGGATTCTTTGCCTAGTAAACCATTCATTCCTAGAAGGAATATTTTGCCTTCTTTATGTAAGTTTCTGAATACCCTTTTCAATTTTGTGTCCAATAATTTGATTGAATTGTGTGTATACTGATAAAGTGAATTGAGAGATGCCCCAGTTATGTTTTTTGAGAAAATTGGCATAGTATTATTTTAAGTGTTGTTTTAATTGAAAAAGTATTACTGATTGAGGAGTTGGATGGTATGTGCATATTGGGGTAGTCATAGTGGTGTAGCTTCAGTTGGAGTGGCACAAAGGTGAGCTCAATAATAGGCATTCATGAAAAAGAAAAAGAAAAGAAAAACATTCAATAGCGCCCACGGTTGAGGCCTAGCGGTTAATGAAGTGAGTGAAAAACACGGGAGACTGAGGTTCACATCCCAACAGAGACAATAAAATGCTAGGTGATTTCTTCCAATTTGATTAAGTCTTGGTGGTAGAGTTACTTTGGTAGCTGTGCCAATGGGTGGTAGTAGGCACTCGATGGAATAGTTCAGGTGTGCGCAAAGCGGCCCGGACACCACCATTGTAAAAAAAAAAAAGAAAAAAAAGAATTCTCAGTGAATTTGTTTAAAGTGGCCTTCTCTGGTGTTCCTCTTTTGGTTTCGGGAAGGTGGCCGATTTTGAATTTATCCAATTTTGTGCTTGTAGGTCAAAGATAATTTAATTTGACTACTATTCAGTTGGATTTGTTGCTTTGTCATTTATTCAGTTAGAAATACATTTGAACAAATCATGGTGAAAGACAATGTAGCTTGACTAATGCCACTTAGATGAATGCTTTTGAACTCTATATTACTTCAAGCCTTTGAGTGACTTAGATTATCAGAATGAAAGATGCTATAAGATAGTAAACAGATACTTAATATTAGATGTAAGATGCCACTTTGCTATTAGATAAACTTTCTTAATCCCTACCAAGATAATTTCTGATTTGATCCGTCACTTTTTAATATTCCTCATAGAATTAGATTTGGTCCTTTTTTTTCTTTCTGATTGCTACATCTTGTTGCTCTATTTCGTTACTGACTCATGCTTTGTTTCTTGTAGTAAGATGTACAGGGCTGCCTAAGTTGCACCAAAGGCATAGCAGAATTATACCATATGCATCTAATGTTGGTGTCGGATCTGGAAATTTCGAAGAAAGTCAAGGAAATGAAAGCCAAAAAATTTCGATGGATCAGCCATCTGCAGATGGTTCATCAAAAATGTAAGTTGTATAAGTTAGCAATCAAATAAATAAGAATTTCCATCCACAAATAAATGACGCAAGGTATGGTGGATTCTTTAAATATCTTTTCTGCATAAAGAGCATGTTATTAGATAACAAGTATATGGGGAGAGGGATAGATCGGTAAATCTTTGATGTATTTGCTTTGTGGGGCACATATTATCGTGCCAATGGCTGGATTTACCAAGGTTGCCATGTTTAACTATTTGATCCCGTTAAACCACACATTTCAAAGATGATTGGATGATAAGTTTAATGGCTTGTGAAAGTTTGTAGGGAATGGTCTAATATGATGTGAACAAACTTGTCTTAGCATGCTAGGCTATCAACGGAATGCATTTACAGATCTAGTAGTAAGACTAGTTAAACAATAACCAATATACTTATCCAATGTCTTGCAATGCTAGCAATTTGGTGCCAAGGTAAAAAACACAGTACCAGTGTTCTCTGATTAGTCAATCAACATAAAATTGCACATTTAAATTGCTCGATGTAACAAGTATAACACCTTAAGGCAGCTTGAGAGAGTATATATCAGTGTCCAACAAATACCTCTACTTTCCGGCAAGTGACCTATGTTTAGGGAGTTCTTTTGGTTACACAATAAGTCTTTAAGGAAAAAATAAAATAAAAAAGGAGCATCTGCAATGACTACCACCTCAGTATTGTAACAATTACAGTTTGCAATTTGATTACGTTTCTTTCATTTCAAGAATGTAAGGAAGAGGTCCACACTGCAGTCATATTTATCTTTCCAAGAAGCACCAGGGTTTGGGGGTTCATTGGAGGTTTTCTGTGCCAAAAGATTGAGGGACGGGGAGCTGATCCCACTTAGAGATGGAATTCAATGAGACTTTTTAAATCGGGGGCCAGCTAAGAACTGAAATGAGTCTGTCCTAGCTTCAGCAATGCTTATAGGATGTTACATCGTGTATTAAGTTGTAGAATCCTTGTCTTTGAATTGTTGAACATAATCTCTTTCGACTTCATGCTATTTTGATGCATTTATTAATATGTGGAAATATGTTATATTTTGATAGCAATTAAGTCTATGGGAACTTTCGCAATATCTGAAACTTATGTATGTTGAACTTTCATTATTGGCAGTGAGGCACTTCCTACTCAAATTCCTTATCCTCTCTCTATAGCTCTTGTGCTATGTGGATGTTCTTTAGTATTTTCGCTGATTGCCTTCACGAAAGGAGGACCCTCATCACTCATTGCAGCATTCGCCAAGTCAGGGTTCACTGCTGCATTCTCGTTGATATTTGTTTCTGAGATTGGAGACAAGGTAAATGGAGAGATAGGCATAATATGCTGTATCTATTACCTTTCCTGAACTCGTGATTTTTTTATCCTTTCATTTTCTTTGTTTTGTTTTCCTTTCCATCTTTTTCTTTTTCTTATTTTTTCATAAGGATAGTGCGAGTGGTCTTAGATCTGGCTGTGACATTGATACATTTAGGTGTAAAAAGTGGTTTATCAGATACCAACCAAAAGAAATGGTGTAACACATAATCATGGCTAAACATTTATGCATTAATAAAGAAAAGCTTCTTGCTTCACTGGACGTTTGATCTTTGGTGTCTTTTATTAAAAAAAGCTGATACTTTCAGAATGAGCCTTGTGACCCTATACATGATTCTACTGACGTGAAAATATTCCCTGCTAATTGATTGAGTTATTTAATCTAAGCTCTGATATTTGTCCTGTGCTAGTTTTGAGATAACTTGTCTTATTCATTACATCTAACTAATTGTTTCTTTAATATGCAATGCAACAGACATTTTTCATTGCTGCCCTCTTGGCCATGCAATATAAGAGAATACTGGTATGTTTGCCTTCCATGTCCCTTACTTCCCTTTTTTATCTGTTTTTCATTTATGGAATTGCAACTTTCTTGCTTTGGGACTGCCTCACTTGATAGGGTTTTGGCACGTCCAAATTGGATGTGCTAATATTTTCTTCTTTCTACAATGTTGACTCCACAATGGTATCCATGCCTTCTACGGGCAATTTTATTTATGGCAGTGTTCTCTATGCTTTGCGCTTGTGTCACTAACTGTCCCCAACTTTACCAAGGAATGAAGTAGGAGAAAACAATAGTACTGGAGAAGCTAAGATATTTTTGTTATTTCGAATTCCGTTTTCATATTCTTTTGCCGGAATCTTTAGACTAATAATATGAGGGATACGTTCAAGGAATAGTAGACGCCGAACGAATTTCTAACGGGCATCTTCTTCCATCATGTTGGAACATGCTCAGGGAAAACAGAATCATCTGAATAAATGATTTTGAAATGCTTTAAAGTACAGCAAAGCCAAATGGAATTTTGGCAGCTGCGGTGCATAAAACCTAGAAAGTTACTTAATAAGATCCTTAAGTATGACACATTCATGTAGGTTTGCAAGTAAATAATAGCATGACTCTTTCCTATCTTAGATTCAAGTAGATACCCTATTCGCAGTATACATCCAATAAATTATGACTGAACTTAGTTATATCTTGGAAGCAACCCACTTGAAAGGTTTCATACTTAAACTTGTTTCTATCTTCTTTCCTTGTAGTCATAGGTTATTATTACTGTCAAAATTTTCAGGATGAGATCCTAGATAGGATCATTTGGTGGAAGCAAGATCTGATTTTTTAAAATTATTTGATCCTCCCGAAAAGAATGCGATCTATTTTCCCTCAACTAATTAGTATTTAGGACTTATAATCTACCCTAATTATGTGAAAATAAATTTGAAATATAAGAACTTAGAAAAACTTGTTGAAATATAAAAAATTTAATATAATCAGTGCACACACAAGTTCGTGTGTTGAAATTGAATGTAGTGTAAACACATTTTAGTGTTAGTATTTCTTGCATACTGCATTACGTAAAAGTAGTAGTCACATCTGTTATTTTCAATGCTTGCTCTTACTATGAATTGCGTCAATGATTAGGTTCTTTTGGGATCAATGGGTGCTCTTTCACTTATGACGGTTCTCTCTGTCATAATAGGACGGATCTTTCATTCAGTACCTGCTCAGTTTCAAACAAGTAAGTTAGACGTTAGGACTGTTATTTCTTTTGGTTTTTAGTTTCCTGATTGGCTCCTTGGGATCTTTCTTTATTGGAAAATCTTGCTAGCGTGTTGTGCTGAAGCAAACTTATCCTAAACTGGAATCATGTTTTTAGAAAGTAAATACAAAATAAGCTCGGTAGTTTAGCGGAAAGCATACCGATAAGTTGTAAGCCTTGTTTGGGTACATTACAACTGGCTGATCGGGTATGTTGATCCACTGGATATTATAACCCAACATTCTCACTGCAAGTTCAATTATATAGTGCTTCTTACTTGAAACCGCCTGATGATGTCTCTTCCTGCGATGTTTAGGCTGCAGTGTTAACGTTGTAGTGTTTGTTTCTCTTACACTCTTTCTCGAGCACATGCTCCCTTTTGGGCACCACAATCACTAGTATTTATATATGGAATCATTCTAGAACAAATAGGATAAAATCCTTAGCCTAGTGTTGCATGTATGGTAATTGGTAAGTGCTAACTTACTACATAAAGCCATAGCCTAATGTTGCATGTATGGTTTAACTAATACTAAGTGGAGCATTAGCATTGAGTTAGTAGAATTAATATACACAAACCTTCCAGCGAAACTTATAAAAGGAGCGCATCTAAACCTTCTCCAAGCCGTACAAACCAAAGACCTAGGCAAATCAACCCTTTTAGAAGTTTTAAGGAGCTTGAATCTATTTTCTTCTTCCTTGTACTTAGTATTTACGGCCAGTTTAGATACATTACTCTATGAAGGTTTGTGTCTGGGGAAGTTGTCAAGTACTATGTATTAAGGTGCCTTTTAGGATAAATTGATGATCAATTGAGAAGGAAATTTTGAAAACATTTTATCTTCAAGATACTTAGCATGTGACTATTTCCAAGTTAAGTGGTACAAAAATGCCAGTATATTCTTCATAGAAATTTTCTAACGTACAGATAAGCTACGGATGGAAACCTAACTCCTTATAGGTTAGGGATCAGAAGTCCGAACTTCTGTCAAAGCCTCGGTTGTCCAGGTCGAAACGTGAAAGTTCTTAACTTACTCGGAGTTCTGAGTAAAAAGAAAGTCTATTCACTAGTTTTGAAGAGGTAGATGTTGTATTCTAATGGACTAACTAAATAGACTCTTAAAAAATGATTAGTGGATGTTGAAATCTTTGAAAGGATTGGAATGTACTGTTATAACACACTTCTAGTGCTTTATGGTACTTTCAAAAGAATAGGATTGTAAACATCCCATACTATATCTTAAATAAATAGTGAAAAACAACATGTAGTACTTTGTAATCCAAGAAATAGTCATTTTTTTGATTTCAGTTGTTACCTCTTTAGCATCAGATCAATAGACGTCAGGCTAAATATTTAAGTTGTCATGTTTCATCATCATCATCCCTTCTTTTTTTTCTTTTTTTTCTTTTTTTTTTTTTGCATAAATAAGGTAATTTCATTAATCTGCACCAAGGGTAACAATATATATATAGAGCAAAAGGGATTTTAAATTCCAAGGAGTCGAAAAGCTAACAAAAGTATCTATGTCCTTTACATATCTCAAGTTACACAAAAAATCCAGAGTTCGCAATGTCCTATATTTCATACACAAAGTGTGCCATTGATTTCCTTCTCCTTCATTTGCTTTCCTTGCCAACTACAAACAGCGTCCTACTATTTGGGCATAACCCATTGCAAACCAACTAAATTGTCACGTACCATCTTTTGTTTGTTTGTATTTCTTCTATTCTGGTATTTGCAAGATATTCAAGTAATTTTCCTGATTGTTTTTCATAACAGCCTTGCCTATTGGAGAATATGCGGCTGTTGCGCTCTTGTTCTTTTTTGGTCTCAAATCAATTAAAGATGCATGGGAACTTCCAAGTAAAGAGGTAGAGACTGGTGAAAAGAGTAGTCAGGAACTTGATGAATTTGCTGAAGCTGAGGAGCTTGTGAAGGAAAAGGTGAACAAGCTGCTGAATGCCGCTCTAAAATGCTGTTTAATTCTCTGATAATTCTGCACTTCCAAAAGTTTTCAATGTCACAACATGTATTTGTGGGAATGACTTCTTTCTCTTTCCTGTCTCCATATTTGCACCACTTGTATTTTCGGAAACCTGGTTCTAACCATTTTATAGATTGCTATTTCAGGCGTCGAAAAAGCTCACAAATCCACTTGAAATTTTGTGGAAGTCCTTTAGCCTTGTATTTTTTGCTGTAAGTATCTTCTTGTTGTTGCAACATTGTTTCTTTTCTGCTCTATTTTTCAAATCCAAATCCAATGCAGAAGATATTCTAGATACCAAGATACTGATTTTTTTTTATCAAAGTAAGGAATATATTCATTAATAATGGGAAAAACTCCCGTATACAAGAGGTATACCAAAAAAAAGAGAACCTACAAAATTAAATGGTTCAAGCTTTGATGACTGCCAACATTTGTTAATTCAAAAATCAAGTTATCTGAATAATTATTTATCTGCTGGATATCTTAATAATCTTCATGTAAGAATTTCTTTGAATGTGACATGGAACACAAGAACTAGTTGTTTCCTTGGTTCGCACTTTTAACGTTGAAAGCATAGAAAATTTTATGCAACTATGTCCAGCTGTTAAAGAACAGTAAGGCCTGTTATAATATTCAAGTTAGGAATCTTAATGCATCCTATGCTTCTCAGGAATGGGGAGATCGATCGATGCTTGCTACAATAGCGCTTGGTGCAGCTCAGGTACAGTTCTTAGGACATTTCAACACTAACAATATGCTTTCTAGCTTTTGGCAAAACTCAGTTTTGAAACATCTCCAACTTCCACTTCCTCTCTGCAATACTGACTCTCTTTTGCAGTCTCCGTGGGGCGTGGCAAGTGGTGCCATTGCCGGACACCTGGTTGCGACATCTATTGCAATACTAGGAGGCGGGTTTCTTGCCAATTACATTTCTGAGAAACTGGTAAGACTGTTCTAAAAGTTCCTTTTTTCCGCTCAAAACAAGTGTATTTTGTATTCTAAGCATCTTCATCTTGGTTCAATGCAGGTTGGCTACTTGGGCGGAATCCTATTTTTAATATTTGCTGTTGCTACTTTGTTTGGAGTGTTTTAACCAAGTGTCACATATGAGAAGACGAAGAGATCAGATAGATAGTCGAGAACATTGGTAGTGGTAGAGGGCAGGAAACTACCATCGGATCAGTAATATGTTCATGGCGTAAGGCAATACATTCTTGTACTGTAGGATAAGTAGAGCCAACTATTTTAGTGGTCTTTAGGCAACACATGAGAGTTGTATTTACAATGCTGATAGGACCCTTGAGAAGATGCTTTTCCCTAATTGCTGTACAAGTTTATTTGAAAGACTCAAGATTTGTGTTTCTTTCTATTGTAATAAGTTCCCACTATTATTTATGATTTAAAAAGTTGTAATATTTGTGTCCTTCAAGTTCCAAGTTGGCATTGTTCAAGTGATAGGAGTGCCACGCCAGCAAGTGTTTCATGCTTTCGAACATTCAATCTGCTTTTTGTCATTAAATTTGCCATCCAGATTAAATAGATACCACTTATGTACTAATTTTCAATGGTTGAAAGGTGTGGTGAGAGGGAAGTTGTAAGCCACCAATCTCAGAGTTTGGAACAGTTATGGTAGTTCAAAAATTATGCAAGAACAGACCTACTTGTTATATATCAAGAAAAGATTGTGAAATCTGTTAAGAGTGTTCCATGTTGATTGGAGGAATGGTTGTTGTCTTATGTGGCATTGAACAATTCTTACTTTATAAACTCGCTTTTGGGGTTGAATTAGATTCAAAGTTCATTTTCTTAACATAGTTTGCACAATCATGATAGAACAAAGAAGCAGCCCAATGTATTGCAACATAATAGAAAATTTTGAATTGACTCCTACCATGTCCATAGTGATCTTTTGGCCATAGAAAGGGCACCCGAAAAATCATGGTTTACTAACATCAGGGAATATATTGAACACCAAATGTATCCCAACATGCAACAAAAATATTCTTAACCTGATATCAGAGTCACATCAATCTGTCTTGGTTTACCCAATGTTGATCCTTCCTATTATGTTGTCCACTTTCCAGATGTTCAACCCTGCACGTACAAGGGGATGACTATTGCCTCCTCATATGGTATTGGACAATACTCACTTCATAGTTAATTTTGAAGTTTGAGTTATGCTCCCATTTTCTTAATAAATCATGACTCTTGTGGTTGAATAACAACAAAAAACACAGTGTATTCCCATAAATGGGGTTTGGGGAGGGTAGTGTGTACGCAGACCTTACCCCTACCTTATAGAGATAGAGAAGTTTCCGATAGACCATCGGCTCAAGGAATAGTGGAGATAAAGCAACAAGTAGCAAAGAATAGTTGTGGTTGAATGAAACTGATAATAAAAATCTGAGGTCTAAGCTTACAGGCCGAGAATTACCATCTTAAAAGAGAGGATAATAGATAACATAGATGCTCTATCACAATGCAAAAAAAATTCATTCTAAGACATGAAGAAATTTGTGGGAATTAATTTCTATTGCCTCAACAATACTAGCCAATCCAATATACAACCTCACTTTTAAAAAAACTGAATATACAACAATCAGCTTTCTGTCAAAATTGCTGACATAAAACTACATGATGCACTTGGTGGCTCGTGTGAATCTTTTCGAGTCTCGGGCAAAAAGAAAGTATCATTGAATCTTCGTCTTCTGCGTGTGTTGCTCATCTTGAGGAGCTCTATTCGTAGACACATCGACTAGACCGAAATGTACCATTAGTGAAGAGCTCAACAAAATGTTTTTCCAGCCTCTTTGCTCCTCGACCTGGTCTTAGAACTTCAGCATCTCCCCAAAGAGTACATTTATCAGTTTCATTGTCACCTAAACACCATCCGCCAGGCACTGGTTCATCGTACTTGTGGTGGAGAAGTTCACGGTCGATCTGGTCAAGTATCGGATCGTTTGCCTCAAACGGTGTGGCAAATGCTGCTCCACTCATCACCAGGTCATTGAAGTCACTAGAGTTGAGCTTGCGAGTCTCTTGTCTTGAGTTAAATGAAGCATACTGCATGTTGTGGTTGATTGTTGTTTTATTGAACTTCCGTGAATTGCACAAAATAGTAGGGAAGTAAACGGATGCCGAGGATGGTGAATTTGACAAGTACATTAGCAGAGTTCTTGGTAGGTTATCTGTGCCTAAGATGCAAAACTCGATAAACTTCCGACTCAAAATAGCAGATGAAGACCCTGGAGCCACGAGGACAAGTTTGTTAGTACTAGAATTAAATAATTTATACCCATATTTAAAGTTTTAAACCAGTAACACACAATAGGATTTTACATGGCATGACTTTACAAAGTTTCTAAAAATCAATGATATCAAAGATTCAAAATAATCCATATAACGAGGAAAGAGTACTAGCTAGCCTTTGATGTTTGCAAAATAGGCTCACACATTGTTAGAACAATACAAGTGGAGCTAATGCTACTCTTATGCTGCTAGGTGGTTTCTACGAAAACTGAACAAGATATTTTCATAAAAAGTAAGCCTGTCCTCGCCCACCTCCAACCTTGAATGATGAAAAGCTCAATCAAATCTGGAAGAGACCTGTAACCAAATAAAAGAGAATACTACCACTAAAAAACTCAGTCAGTCCTAACACCTTCCCTCCACCTCTTCTAAAACAGGTGAATCTCCACCATCAAAGACTTTGAGTACCTTTACCAATGATATCACAGCAAGCTAAGGAGATGAGTTTTGTATCAGCCACATCTTCGGACCACTAAGAAATTCCATTAGCTCTACAGAAGATAAAAGGAAAATCTCGTCTCATCCCTCTCATGGAGGAAATATCAGCAACCAAAGGAAAATTTTGATGGAAGAAGAAGTTGAGGTTGAGGAATCAAGTTTTTTCGTTGCTGAAGTAAGAGTAAACTCAAGCTGACTTTCAGGTAATAGCAAAGGATAATGTTAGCCTAGAAGAAGTTATCAGTACAGATGGTTGCAGTTGTGTCAGTAACCTTCGCCATTGAGTAACAATGAAGGGCGAAATGGACTTCGGAGAGGAGGATGAAGGGTCGGTATCAGATGAGAAGTGATGGAGGAAAGTATAACAGAGAAATTACCCCGAGAACTGTTTCCAAGAAAGAAAGGGTAAGAAAAGTGAAGAAAAGGGGTATCTTTCGGGATTAGTCTCTCTGTGCATCTTTTTGTTCTTCAACTTCCGAACTAATAAATGCAGTCATAATTTGATAAAGTCAAGCTATTTTTCCTTTTAAATGCAAAGCTTTGATAAACCTTTGATATTTTGAAGACTAAATTGTGCAAACACATTGCGTGCATGTGCATTTTTTTTTTTTTTGATAAGGTAAATTGTATTAATCAAAAGGGAGAGAACTCCCGTATACACTAAGTATACCAAAGACGTAGAGAATTTACATCAGAACATGATTCTCTACAAAAAACGCCCAATCTTCTATACAAGTAGGGGCTAAATGAGTGCACCAAGCGATTAAAAGTCTATTCTTAAGATGTGAAAAAGGAGACTCAATCTCCTCAAAAGCTCTCCTATTTCTCTCCCCCCATACTACCCACATGAGAGCTAACGGGGCGAACTTCCACGCCTTCTGCTTTTTTCTTCTACGAAAACCGCCCCAGCTATGTAACATTTCTTTTACAGTGCTTGGCATCACCCATTGAACACCAAAAAGATTCAGGATTGCCCTCCACAAAGCAGAAGACACAGGGCAATGCAACATAAGGTGATCAACTTCTTCCCCTGAGCTTTTGCACATGTAGCACCAACTAACAAGTGTAATTCCCCTCTTTCGGAGATTTTCAGCAGTCAAGATCACTCCCCTTGCCGCTAGCCATGCAAAAAAGCACACCTTCGTGGGCGCCNGAGCGCCCTAGGAATCCAGATCGAGGAATATGGAAAAGTGGTCTCCTCTCTCACCAACATACTCTGGTAAAAGGACTTTACAGTGAACAAACCATCGCCACGCAAGTCCCATCTCCAAGAGTCACAGGATGGCTGAAGCCTGTCTTGCCCGTATAGCAGCGCCAACAAAACTTGGAGCTCCGCAATCTCCCAATCTTGCATGTTCCTCCTGAATGAGAGGTCCCATACTACCCCCTTCATGCTCCTTGCGAATCTGTTGGACCATCAGTTCTTTCTGGTTTGAAACTCTAAAAACGTGGGGGAAGGAGACCCTTGCTCCTTGCGTGCATGTGTATCTTATGAAATATCTTTTCACAGTTTCATCAAGCTTTATATCAACCGTTCAAGCAAGTTTCTATTAATTCCTTACTTCAGCAATCATTTCATTTTCACACCACCATGCCTATTTCCTTATTTAAAATCTGTTTATTTCTTAAAGTATCCAAAAACACTCCAACATTTTCGCACCTCCTTGCCCTTATTGTTACTTAACCAAAAAGGTTAGTTTCCAACAAAAATAGGGGGCTTTTCAAGGTCAAGGCTAACATAATAGACTCTTGGAACATCGGAGGTATGTTGTAGATTCAGAGACTGAAAGATTTTGATTCCAAACTAAAGTCATTTTTCTATGTGTAGAGTGTAACCAAAATGGCAAGAGTCCTGGCCACCTAATTTAGCAATTTCTACATAAAGGCTTGGAGAAGGATGGACACTTAGGGGCACTCAGATGCTTATGCTTTCTAACCAAACACTTGAAACAAAGTTATGCCCTCTTAAGCACGTTCAACTTTTCAGTCATCTGCTTCAGTGGATACCTTTTGCTGATATTTTCAAGAGAGAAATGCAAAAGTGTGCAGTAATTGATACATTATAGAAGACCTTGTTGGAACAAGGGGTTTTGCTTGTTGTTGCTAACTAAGGGGTCGCTTGGTCGGGAAACAAATTATCTCGGAATTATTATCCCACCCTCCCATAGAGATAAAAATAACACCACAATCCCGGGATAACTAATACCGTGATTAGTTATACTGCGATTTTATCTCAACCAAACGTGGGATAAACTCATCTCAAATTTAATCCCGGGATTAATTATCACTTATCCCTCGTACCAAACGAGCCCTAAGAGACTAATGCGACTGCTTGATCAACAAATGGACCTAAAAACACTACTGCTACCAAAATTCTCTAGTTGCATCTCAAAGTTACTTTTATAATCTTTATTTTCTACTTCAATTATTACTCTTTTCTTTTTAGCAGGAGTAAAGATTGTGACTCAGTGTTATAGTTGTCTACTTCATAGCAAGACTGCTTTCTTCAATCAATCATTCAAGGACATTAAATAACACGAGCATATTCATTCTTCATCAGTCATAATGCAGAAAATATGACCATAATCTGACCTGAGAATAATTGATAAGCATCGGGCAGTTCCCTTTTCTGAGATGCAAAAAATACTTCATCTTCCTCTTCAAGGTAGAGCCCAGG